CTATATATATATATATATATACTACTCTCTTTTTGTTTTATGGCGCGCCGCGAGCTAAACCTCACCTCCACCAATAGATAAGAACGAAAGGACGTTTGATGTTAAGATCCCTTCATGTCCTCTTCCTCCCTCCTTTTTTCATAATTATAAGCAGAAATTTTTCCCTTCCTCGTTTTCCCTTCCCAATTTGCATTCCTCGTCCGAATTAATGTCGCGAAAATATTGCTCGTTTGTTGAAATTTCTTCAATAATTTTAAGTTTATTCTTCTTCTACTATTTTATTAGTTATAATTTAGAAAATTAGAATTCATTTATCTTCTCTAGTTCTGTCGTATAATATAAAATGTCTTTCGTATTGTCAATCTGAATTATCAATCTCGCATTTGGATTGGAATTGATTATCTGAGATTATTCTATTTTATTACGATTTATTACGATATTTAATTTATTTTGAAAATTATACTTTGTTTATATATATGTATTATATTCTTCTCTCATCTTTTTATTAATCTCTCATTTGGATTAGAATATCGAACGAGATTACCGTCGTTGGAAGTTTTTTTAAGAAAAACTGCTTTTTAATTGCGATTAACCTCGATGAATTTCGCAAGGATGGTTCTCGCCTGTTTAATTAATCTCGTTCGCGCGATGAAATTTATGATCCTCTTTGGAGATTTGTTCAAGAAATTTTTTTAAGCTTCAAGAAATTCTGATTAACAAAAAGAAACGTTCGATCTAATTTTGAACCGCGAAATTGCATTAAACTTGATTGAAGTTGGGAATCTTTTCTTCAAATACTTGCTCAACGCTGTGTGAACGAGGCCGTTGCACTTGGACGTTCGATTAATTAAGTCAGGACAATTTTAATTGTCGCGGCTGCTTCCGGGCCGATTCGAGCCAACAATCTTTTCCTCCATTTCACTCCAATTTCTATCAACGTTTTTTTAAATCTTTCAGCTTCATAAAGATGCATAGAGAGATTAAAATGCAATGCGCTGAGCTATGCAAATTCGTAACCAATTGTCTCGAAATTTCTTAGCCTACTTTGGAAAATGAAAATTGGCAACGTTTTGTTTGTTGCCAAAAAATATCAGATATTAATAAAATTTCGCAAGAAATATATTAATATATATATATATATGTACACGAAAGTATCGACATTTGAATTAATAGGATTTTTAAAAAAATGGACTCTATTGTTTTCTAATAATAGATGAATTAATGTTTTGCGCGTGCAATTTCGACCATTGTTCACCAAAGCTTTCAGAGAAGTTGTCATGACAATTTTCGTTCGAATTTTCGCACGAATTGCCGAATTAGACCGCCACTATATACCCTATATACGTCACCCCATTTTTCGATGTGTCGCGAAAAAGAAATTATTGAATCGATTCTCTCTTATTTTTAACTATTTTTTCGACTCGAACTTCGTGAAATATTATAAATATATTCCTTTAATAACATTTCATAATTTCACGTAATCTAAAATATTCAACGCGTTCACGATTCTAACGAAATATTCGAAATAAAAATAAATTATGAACAAGTCACAAAGCAGAAAACGGAATATAAAAAAATCTTGTCTCATCTTTACAGAGAGAGAAAGAGAGAGAGAGAGAGAGAGAGACGCTAACGCGTCACTCGAATGCGTTAATATAAAATCCTTCTTGCATTCTAATTTAACAGAGTGCACTCTAAACTCGATTCAAAGTTTAACTTCCCCCAATATTCCCCCCTGGTGAATGTTATTCCGCGTCGCGTGATACGTACGAGCGTGTGATTAGAGACAAGAAGGGACACGGAATTGTTGCTTGTGTCCAGGAGTGTGAGGGAACCGTCGTCGGCCTGGTAGACAAACTTGTCGTGGGTTATCCAGGTCGGTGTTAACCTGTGCGGCGTCAGATCATCACGAAGGCACTCGTCTAACGTGAGCCGTCTGCCGCTCCAGTACAACAGCTCGTCCACGTACCTGAAAAGTTTCGTACCTCTAATTTGATAATAGCCCCTGCTGGAATATCGATTCGTTCAATATTCGATCACTTGCTATCCGAGTAAATAATATAGAAAGTTAAGTTGGAAAATCGTATTTTCAACCGGAAAGAAGTTTTTATCAAACCCCTCGAAACTTTGGTTATTATTAAATATTCAGATAATTCTTTAAAATTCCAATTATCTTATATCGTATAGAAATTTCGATCGACTAAAGTTTCTTAAGAGGAATTTCGCAATATGCGTCGAATATTCGATTTCTGATATTATCGATTGTTTTTATTAAATTTCCAATTTTTATTAATCCTCTTTACAATGCGTGTAAGTGTAGGGAAGTCTTGTTATTGATTTTCCTCCATAAATATAATATCGATGGAGAAATATTTTCATAGAAAATTTTATTTCCTCAAAACTTTGGAATTTTGTATTCGCGTTGAATCCTCATTATTTCAACGTTTGTATTAAAGAAATATTTAGTACGAAAGTTTCGATAAAATTCCAAAATTTTGCAACGCAACGTTGAATATTTTAAAAAAGAAAAATACGATTCTTCGAGAGAAATAACGAAATTTTATAACGTAAGATTAACAGCTTTAAGTCACATCGATGCTCTTTAAAATTCTCGGGCTAAACTTCCGTGTTTGCGGCGCTAGATGGCGGTGTTCAGGGATCGAGAGAAAGAGCGGTGGGGGTTAATGTTATAGAAAGCGAAGGGATGTTCTCGTGGCTTTAAGGATGATAAAACGGGGATTTT